GGTATGGTGGCCACAACTTAAGTTATAAAAACTCACCCCTGGAGCACACATAATGCCCCCCCCCCCCAAAAAAAAAAAATAGAAGAAGGACCCAGAGGTCCTCCCAGTTTGAAGTCAACAAAAAAGTGAGAGAGAGGGAGGAGCCTAGCTAAGCTCCTCCCACACCCACCAAGAAACAAAAGACTGTTGCCAAGCACAATTCTCCTGTTACCACAATTCTTTCACACCTTAATTTTACTTTTACAAAAAGAAATACAACTTTATAAACTACTTACTTTAATTGTGTGTGTGTGTGTCTATAGTATAACCTATTATATTGAGAAAAACAGGCTTGACTCAGCTGCCTTACAGCCATAAGAGTGATTTGCCCTTATGACATTTAGAGCTGAGTCCCCATCAATTCAATATAATTACGTATTCCAGAGTAACTGTTACAGATACATAAATACATGTTGGGTGCTATAGCCCCATAACAGTCCTCCTCCTCGTCCTCATCCTCCTTTTCCTCGTTGTCCTCGTCCTCCTCCTCGTCGTTGTCGTCATCCTCCTCCTCCTCCTCATCCTCCTCCTGCTCCTCCTCCTCATCCTCATCCTCATCCTCCTCCCCCTCCCCCCTCCTCCCTCCTCCTCCTCCCTCCTCCTCCCTCCTCCTCATCCTCCTCCTCCTCCTCATCCTCCTCGTCCTCCTCCTTGTCCTCATCGATCATCCTCCTCCTCCTCCTCCTCCTCGTCCTCCTCCTCGTCCTACTCCTCCTCCTCGTCCTACTCCACCTACTCGTCCTCGTCCTCCTCCTCGTCCTCCTCATCCTCGTCATCCTTGTCCTCCTCGTCCTCCTCCTCATCCTTGTCCTTGTCCTCCTCATCCTCGTCCTCCTCCTCATTGTCCTCCTCCTCATCGTCCTCCTCCTCCTCCTCATCCTCCTCTTCGTCCTCCTCGTCGTCCTCCTCATCCTCTCCTCAGTCCTCCTCTCTCCGTCCTCCCCTCCTCCTCCGTCCTCCCCTCCTCCTCCTCCTCCTCCTCCCTCCTCCCCTCCCTCCTCCTCCTCCCTCCTCCTCCTCCTCCTCCTTCCTCCCTCCTCTCCTCCTCCCCTCCTCCTCCTCCTCCTCCTCCTCCTCCTCCTCCTCCTCCTCCTCCTCCCTCCTCCTCCTCCTCCTCCTCCTCCCTCCTCCCTTCTCCTCCCTCTCTCCTCCCTCCTCCTCCTCTCTCCCTCCCTCCTCCTCCTCCTCCTCCTCCCTCCCTCCTCCTCCTCCTCCTCCTCCCTCCTCCTCCTCTTCCTCCTCCTCCCTCCTCTCCTCCCTCCTCCTCCTCCCTCCTCCTCCCTCCTCCTCCCTCTCCTCCTCCTCCTCCTCCTCCTCCTCCTCCTCCTCCTCCCCTCCTCCTCCTCCTCCTCCTCTCCCTCCTCCTCCTCCCTTCCCTCCCTCCTCCTCCCTCCTCTCCCTCCTCCTCCCTCCTCCTCCCTCCTCCCTCCTCCCCCTCCCCTCCTCCTCCTCCCTCCTCCCTCTCCTCCCTCCTCCCTCCTCCTCCTCCTCCTCCTCCTCCTCCCTCCTCCCTCCTCCCTCCCCTCCTCCCTCCTCCCTCCTCTCCTCCTCCCTCCCTCCTCCCTCCTCCTCCTCCTCCCTCCCCTCTCCTCCCCTCCCTCCTCCCTCCTCCCTCCCTCCTCCCTCCTCCTCCCTCCTCCTCCTCCTCCTCCTCCTCCCTCCTCCCCTCCTCCTCCTCCTCCTCCTCCTCCTCCCTCCTCCTCCCTCCTCCTCCCTCCTCCCTCCTCTCCCTCTCCTCCCTCCTCCTCCCTCCTCCTCCCTCCCTCCTCCTCCTCCTCCTCCTCCTTCCTCCCTCCTCCTCCTCCTCCCCTCCTCCCTCCTCCCTCCTCCTCCCTCCCTCCCTCCTCCTCCCTCCTCCTCCCTCCCCTCCTCCTCCCTCCTCCCTCCTCCCCCTCTCCTCTCCCTCCTCCTCCTCCTCCTCCTCCTCCCTCCTCCTCCTCCTCCCTCCTCCTCCTCCTCCCCTCCTCCTCCTCCTCCTCCTCCTCCTCCCTCCTCCTCCCTCCTCCTCCTCCCTCCTCCTCCCCCTCCCTCCCTCCTCCCCCTCCTCCCTCCTCCTCTCCTCCCTCCTCCTCCTCCTCCCTCCTCCTTCTCCTCCCTCCCTCCCTCCTCCTCCTCTCCCTCCTCCCTCCTCCCTCCTCTCCCTCTCCTCCTCCTCCTCCCTCCTCCCCCTCCCCTCCTCCCTCCCTCCCCCCTCCTCCCTCCCTCCTCCTCCCTCCTCTCCTCCCTCCTCCTCCTCCCTCCCTCCTCCTCCCTCCTCCTCCCTCCTCCTCCTCCTCCTCCTCCCTCCTCCTCCTCCCTCCTCCTCCTCCTCCTCCTCCTCCCTCCTCCTCCTCCTCCTCCTCTCCTCCCTCCTCCTCCCTCCTCCCTCCTCCTCCTCCTCCTCCTCTCCTCCTCCTTCCTTCCCCCTCCTCCTTCCTCCCTCCTCTTCTTCTTCTTCTTCTTCATTATATATTTCCACATATCCAAAACATCGCTGGGACCTATAAATACACATGTACCTTGTTTATATTCCAAGACAATAGTAAATGGCCAAGGCAGGTGTAAATGTCCACCTGTCAATGTGTTTGTGACAATTTGAGTACAATTTCAGTACCTAATACTAGTGTCAGAACACAGATTGGTTTTAACCCTTTGACTGTCGCGGCCGTATATGTACGTCTTACGAGGTACCGTGTTTGACGTATATATACTCATAAATTCTAGCGGCTTCAAATCAAGCAGGAGAAAGCTGGTAGGCCCACATGTGAGAGAATGGGTCTGTGTGGTCAGTGTGCACCATATAAAAAAAATCCTGGAGCATGCAGTGCATAATGAGAAAAAAAAACTCCTACCGTTTTTTTTAATTAAAATGCCAACTTTGTGGTCTATTTTCGTATAGTATTTATGGTTGTATTCTCATTTTCTTGGTCTCATTTGATAGAATGGAAAACATATTATAGAAATAGGTGTGATTTTGATTGATTTTACTATAAAAAGAACCTAGAAATGGAGCTCAAAGTAGGGGAAATGTTTGATTTTTGCCAATGTTCAAAAGTAAACAAATGATGCCATTTTCCAATAAATGTCCAAATAGCCATTCTAATATGCAGTCACGAATGGGTTGATGTTATTTATACAATTATTACAGTATTGCAGTAGTCTGCATAATAGTAAGTCTTCTATTTTTTGTTTGAATAAAAATTCAAAATAGAAAGCAAGAATAATATCAGAGGGGACTGGAGATGTGACTGATGAACAAAGAAGATGTTATTTTAGAGCCAGGAATGGTCTGCATTGTTCATTCTGAACCTTATTTTGAATTGTCATATTTTTTTTAGTTTTCGTGAAATTGGCCAAATTCCAAATTTCTGACCACATTATTAGGTAGTTGAAATTCGGTAAGTGGGCATTTCTTGTACTCAATCGATAGAAAAAATGGAGTTCTAAAGAAATAGCTATGAGTTTGGGCGACTGGAACAATGGAATTAGCTGAAAATAGGGCTCAAAGTTGGCGAAATCGCCGATTTGTAAACATCGCTGAGGTTGCTAACTTCGCGAGAGCATAATTCTGTCAGTTTTCCATCAAATTTCGTTTTTTTGGTGTCATTACAATCGGGAAAAGATTCTCTATCATTTCATAAGAAAAAATAATTTTTTTTTTTTTTAAATTTTGCGACACCAGGAGACACCTCAGGATTGGGGGTTGCGACAGTCAAAGGGTTAAAATGACAAGAACTACTACAAATTGTAATTATCAGAACATAAAAATTACATGAAATAATATGAAAAATAGAAAAAAAGGTATATTGGCAACACTTCTGCAAGCTGCAGGACTCGCTGTTTCTGTCAAGTGAGCATCCTGTGCCAACTTCTTGGCCTCATATCTCTGTAAATACTGACTCTAAATTTTTTTTTTATCCTATAACACTTAGAAAAATGTGCTCTTTTTTTTCAATAAAAAAAACGATTTTTTTATTTTTCAAAATATTCAGGGTGCTGCGCGAGTGAACGTATATATACGTTTGGACCGTTTAAGGGTTAAGGTAAGAAATACTATTATTTCTATTGCATTTGTAGTCATAAGCAGTAAAAACATAGTATATCACAACAATGAACTACGGTTGCATATTCACTTTTTTTTTTTATATAAGATCTGTTGGTCTAAAAAAAAAGTTGTTTGGCTTTTTCGGTTCTCCCAGGAATGCAACCCTATTTTTCCCATAACTTCTTCAGTTTATCTAACACAGTTTTACCCAACATGGAGTTTTCAGGAACGTAACTACCGCATAATAAAACAGTCTACTGTAAATTAAAAAATAGCGAAAAAAAAGGTATATTTGCAACACTTCTGCATGCGGCAGGACTCCATGTTGCCATCAGGTAAACATCCAGTGCCAGCTTTGCAGCCTTGTATCTTTGTAAGTACTGACCCAAAAAAAAAAAAAAATTTTTTTTTGTCTTGTTACACAGAAAATTGCTCTTTTTAATTTTTTTTCTCAAAATATTTGGAGCACTAGCAGTGATAATGTAGATCTGCATTTGGACAGGTAATGGGTTAAACCAAAAAATGCTGTTGCAGTTTTATCTTGTTATGCACTGCTTGCTGCAGGATTTTTTTTTTTTTATGTGATGCACACTGCACAAACCCATTCTCTTATATCTAGGCACAAATTTACCACTTACAGCTTATCTGAGTGAGCTGAGCTCATGGTGTAGAACTATGGGACTGACCTGGGCTTCCAAGCCATAGAACAACGGGGCCCACACCAAAAGGGTTAGAGTATTTCTCTTAACCATTTTCAAATTATTTGAAAATCTGAAATGTCTTCAAGCATTTATGTAGTAAGGTTTGCATTATCTTCTGATGTTCTCTCTCATTGTTGTCATTTTTAATTTTAATATACTTCCTATTATGTACTGTACTTGTAAAATACTTTATACAGGTAATTGCTGTAGAAGTTAATGTTATTAATTTCTTTCAGTGGTTTGTTTTATGAGAAGTACTTAAAGCAGATACACCTGAATGATGTCTCTGTACAATTTTCCAAAATGAATCTCTCTTACTTGCTCAAGGTATGTCTAAGAAAATTGTTCCATTGTATCATTAGTTTTGATATATCTGCTCTTTTTCTAGAGTAAACTCTACTAGTATATCAATATTATTAAAGGATATATTTATTGTACAGTGGTTCCGACCAACTGGTCGTAAGTCAAAATGGACATAAGCCAAACCTTTGAAAATTGCCGACATACTGGGTAAGCCATAATGTCAAACTTTTCCTATATAAACTACCTACATAGTACTGTAATGTAATGTACAATCATTATTTCATTCTTTTTACCATAATTTACTTCTATTGTTATATTTTAATTATTTATTTACTGTATATAATGTATACATGGTAGTGAACTGTATTGTAAATTTTACATCGCATACAGTATCATATGTTACTGTTATCTTTATGTATTGTCGACACAGTGGAATGGGAGAATACCACTGGTAGTGTCATCCTGCCAGAATGTAGTATAACCTATACCCTAAGTAAAGAGAAACAACTCGGGAACATGTGTAATACGTAGCTGGCTGGCTGGCCGGGTGGGTGGGTGGCTTCTCTCTCTCTCTCTCTCTCTCTCTCTTTACTTCATCTACTTTCTCTCTCTTTGTCTCTCTCTCTCGCTCTCTCTCTCTCTCTCTTCTCTCTCTCTCTCTCTCTTCTCTCTCTCCTTCTGTAATCTCTCTCCTGTTGTATCTCTCTCTCTCTGCTTATCTCTCTCTCTCTCTCTATCTCTCTCTCGTCTATCTCTTCTGTCTCTAATCTCTCTTCGCTGTCTCTATCTCTCGTCTTCTCTCTCTCTGTCTTCTCTTCTCTCTTCTGTCTCTCTCTATCTCTCTTCTGTCTCTCTCTATCTCTCTGTCTTCTCTCTCTATCTCTCTTCTGTCTCTCTCTTCTCTCTCTCTCTCTACTCTCTCTGTCTCTCTCTATCTCTCTGTCTCTCTCTCTCTCTGTCTCTCTCCTCTCTGTCTCTCTCTACTCTCTGTCTCTCTCCTCTCTCTCTGTCCTCTCTCTCTCTCTGTCTCCTCTCTCTCTCTGTCTCTCTCTTCTCTCTTTCTCCTCTTCTCTCTCCTCTCTCTCTCTGTCTCTCTCTCTCTCTGTCTCTCTCTCTCTCTCTCTGTCTCTCCTCTCTCTCTGTCCTCTCTTCTCTCTCTCTCTCCTCTCTCTCTCTCTCTCTCTCTCTCTCTCTCTCTCTCTCTCTCTCTCTCTCTCTTTCTCTCTCTCTCTCCTTCTCTCTCTCGTCTCCTCTCTCTCTCTCTCTCTTCTCTCTCTCTCTCTCTCTCTCTCTCTCTCTCTCTCTCTCCTCCTCCTCTCTCTCTCTCTCTCTGTATCTCTGTATCTCTCTCTCTCTGGTGTGCATCAGCTGGCCCAGCTCAGCTGCCAGATGCACGATCGTAAGTCGAGTAGACGTATGTTGAGCAGGTCGTAAGTCAGATGGTAGGTGTACAATTAATCCGTTCCAGAAACCCAAAAATATTCACAAAAAACAAAAAATACATTTTCTTCTTTCTTTCAACACATTGCCCATATCCCACTGAGGCGGGGTGGCCCAAAAGGAAAAACGAAAGTTTCTCCTTTTACATTTAGTAATATATACAGGAGAAGGGGTTACTAACCCCTTGCTCTTGGCATTTTAGTTGCCTCTTACAACACGCATGACTTACAGAGGAAGAATTCTGATCCACTTCCCCATGGAGATAAGAGGAAATAAACAAGAACTAGTAAGAAAATAGAAGAAAACCCAGAGGGGTGTGTGTGTATATATATATATGCTTGTACATGTATGTGTAGTGTGACCTAAGTGTAAGAAGTAGCAAGACGTACCTGAAATCCCGCATGTTTATGAGACAGAAAAAAGACACCAGTAATCCTACCATCATGTAAAACAATTACAGGTTTCCGTTTTACGCTCACTTGGCAGGACGGTAGTACCTCCCCGGCCAGTTGCTGTCTACCAACCTACTACCTAGGAAAATACATTTTATAGAGATTATAGTTTTACACACAACAAATATAGTGTACAATTATTGAAGATTGGTGATGGCATCTGGAAGATAGGGAGAAGGAGAGAGGGAGTTGGGGTTAGTGTTTGGAAGGGGAATCCCCCTCCATAAGGACTTTAGGTATCAAAGCCCTCTCTGGGGTTACTTCCCTTCTCTGTCTTTTAATGCCACTAGGACCAGCTTGAGAGTCACTGGACCCCTGTCTCACAAAATAACTGTCCACTGTCCTCTGTTTCTGGCACCTCTTTAAGATTTCCCTAAAATGGTACATGGTTTTGTCACTGAACTTGTTGCAAAGATGGTTTGTTTCAGCTTGCTCAGGGTGGTACTTCTGCACAAACATTTGGACATCATTCCACTTGGCACAAATCTCCTTAATCTTTGAAGAAGGCACCTCATCCACTCCCTCTTCCTCCTCCTCTGAAGCAAGTTCCTCAGCTGTGGTCTGATACTGCTCCAGATGAAGCTCTTCCAGCTCTTCAGTGGTCCTCCACCAACTCTTCCACATCCTCGCCACTCACCTCCAACCCCAGGGTGTTCCCCAATGCCATAATAGAGTTCACAACAGGCAGAGGGTGAGCTGGGTCAAGGTCAGGGTCAGGGTCAGCCTCAAACCCTTCAAAATCCCTCTTTTGGACACAATCTGGCCACACTTGTCTCCAAGCAGAGTTCAAAGTCCTGAAAGTCACTTCCTCCCAAGCCTTGCCTATAAGGCTTACGGAGCTGTGGATATTGAAGTGATTCCTCCAGAACTCTCTTAGGGTCAACTAAGTGTCTGTGGTCACTTGAAAGCACTTTTCAGACACTACTTTTGTGTAGTTTTTTGAAGTTAGAAATGACCTGCTGGTGGAGAGGAGTTGTGTTGAGGAGGGAAGAACTTCACTGTTATAAAACTGAAGTCCCTAGACAAGAGGTCTACTAAGTTTGGAGGATGAGCAGGAGCATTGTTCATTAACAAGAGGCACTTGAGTGGCAAATTATTGTCTGGGAGGTATTTTCTTACACTGGGGCCAAACACTTCATGGACTCACTCTTGGAAAATTTGCCTTGTAACCCATGCCTTATTATTTGCTTTCCACAAGACACATAACTTGTTCTTTATGACATTTTTTTTTTAAACACACTGGGATTTTCTGAATGATACACAAGTAAAGGCTTTACTTTAAAATCACCACTAGCATTAGCACAGAACAAAAGAGTTAGCCTGTCTTTCATAGGCTTGTGTCCTGGGAGTGCCTTTTCCTCCTGAGTAATGTAGGTCCTCTTTGGCATTTTCTTCCAGAACAGACCTGTTTTGTCACAATTGAACACTTGCTGGGGCTTGAATTTTTCAGTGTCTACGTAAACCTTAAACTCCTGTATGTACTAACTTCTCAGCCACCCGCTTGTTTGAACTGACTGCCTCACCACGTCTTACATCATTGTGTATGCCACTATGCTTCTTAAATCTGTCAAATCAGCCTCTGCTGGCCTTAAATTCACTATCAGCAAAGGTTCCAGGAGTTTTCTGTACCAGATCGGCACGCAACTTCCTTGCCTTTTCACAAATAATCGTCTCTGAAACCCTATCACCTGCCTTCTCTTAATCCTTGATCCACACCGGCAACAACTTCTCAACCTGATCGATTGTCTGTGGTCTTTTTTTGGTTAGCATATTAACACCTTTCGCAACATCAAGCTTCCTTAATTTGTTCTTTCTCTGCCAGGATAGAAGCGATGGTCGACTTGTTTTTCCCATACATCCTGGCAAGCTCAACAAGTTTCACACCACTCTCATACTTCTGTATTATTTCCTTCTTCACGTCTTTGGTGCTTCTCACTTTCTTTACCACAGGGGTACCACTAGCAAGTTTCTTTAGGCCCATGGTAGCTTATTTCACAGTCCCACAAACACTAAACACAATGAATTAATTGTAAAATGTTTGAATGAGAGCACAGGTTAGTGTTCATTCAAACATCAACAAAGCCAGACTGGCTCAAGGCCCCTGCGCAGGGACGCAGGCTGGCAGACAGGTCCAGTACCCGGTGGTTCAAAAATAGGGGGGAGTTCGATAATTGGGACAAATTTGGTTCAAAAAAAGCTGTCAATTTTCGAAGAGTTCAATAAGCAATACGTTGGAAATTTGAGGTTCCACTGTATATTCAAAATTACTCCAGACTGCAAAGAAGCCCTTAATTAAAACTAATTTCATAGTATTCTACCTGTGTACTAGCCTTTTTTTCTGCAGACTCCAAAGCCTCAGTATCTAACTCTTTCACTGTCACGACCCCTGAAATTGGAAGTGCTGACAGTGTTGCAATTTAAAAAAAAAAGGTGAGAATCTTTTTCCTGGAGGTAATGACCCCGGAAATGCAAAATTTGATGGAAAAACTTACAAAATTTCACAAGTGCAAAATTGGCAGTCTGGGCACACTTTATGTATCGGGGATTTTGCCAAATTTGAGTCCTCTTTTAAGCTAAGTTTCTAGCTATTTCAGTAGTATTCTTTCACTTTCTTGATTGAGCACAAAACACTGCACATTCAACTACCAGAATGCCCCTATAATGTGCAGAGTTAAATTTATTTGGCCAGTATTACACACACTTAAAACAAATTCAATTTAAAAGTTTTCTAATACAAACATTGTAGACATTCCAGGTACTAAAGCAACTTTCCCTCTGTTTATTAATCATAACTTCAGGTCTGTCCTATATAACATTTGCCCTCCATTTTGAATCTATTATTCATTATCCTATTTCTCGGCTAATAAAATATAATGAATGACTGTTGATGGTTTAGGCTATCCCAATAATTGAAATAGACCTAGTGAAAAACCATAAAACACCAGGAGAGCCATACCTATCTTCAGGAAAATTGCCATTTTCTTTTTTTAACACATTGGCTGTCTCCCACCAAAACTTTAAAAGTTTTTCTTCTTAAATTTAGTAATTTATACAGGAGAAAGAGTTACTAGCCTCCCCTTGCTCCCTGTATTTTAATAGTAATAATTATAATAATCTGAGTGCCTCTGCAAA